GATAAAAATAGTATATGACCGATTTTATTTATTTATTTATTTTTGATGTTGTCGGTCAAGATAACGTCTAGCGCGACCAGCCAAACAGCTGTAATGTTTGGCTGGTAACAATCGGAATGCATTATGGGATATGTAGTTTCGTGCTCAAAACCTATTTTAAGTCAATCAACGGCCTATGAAATGCTGGGGCGGGCCACATAAAATGACATGGCGGGCCACATGTGGCCCGCGGGCCTTCAGTTTGACACATGTGATTTAGACCATCATCAAGAAACAGAGAGGCGAGTTTTAGACAGGGGGTGTTTTGTAGTTGAACTGACAGCTCCTCTAAATGCCGCAGACCTCTTAATGCACATGCATACTCACTGCATGTATGCTATTATGACAGCATATGATGATCTGACAGAACATCTTTGTTTTAACATTGCTAACTTTCTTACCATAGCACAGCTAGATAGCTATGTCTACTTGTCAGTGTTACCTGTCTAAAACTGCTACCGTCATGTTTACAAACCAAAAACTATAACTGGTTGTGTTATTGTTAAAAATCATCAATGGATAGCATTCATTGAGTGACGGGACTGAAATGGAAGCTTAGGAGTTATGCTTAGCATAGTATTGGAACAATTTATATTCACGACGAAACCACAAGAATTTCACTTCCTTCATCAAAATATCCTACCCGTTTAAAATGAAAAGCTATCGCAGATGTATGCACTAATCCTTGTATTAGAATATCCTACCTTTAAAAAATACAGTAGTTGATGTTGATGTTAGTAGTTGTGCTAAAATCCTTAGTCAGCATGTCCTACTTGTATACGGGATAGCACATTCTGTTGAATCAAATCCCTTCATCTACCTTTAGAAAATATAGTGGAAGCATTTGTTGATGTACTTAATCTTTTCATCACAATACCCAACTTTAACAAAATACTTAGGTAGCACATTTTGTTGCTCCAATTCCCTTTATTTGATTTTCCTACGTTTCATGAAATACAGAGGTATATATTGATTAACTAAATTCCTACATCAGAATATACCTTTTAAAAATATTTTAAATACAGAGGTGTTTGTACAGAGGTCCCCTGTCTGATACTGAATCAAACAGTATCAGACAGGGGAAACAAGTTTTATTTAAATTAACTTTAACACAGACCTGAAAAATAAGGATACTCCCTTATGTCAAAATTTAATTAATCGAGTTTGATGGATTAAAAAGCCACACCCAAATAAAAAAATCAATGCTATCGCCTCAGCCATTTGTTGAATCTGCATCATATAATGCTTATCGTATAAAAGATCTGTTTTAATAAGGTTTTATATGGCCTTATCTGATTAATAAAACTATATAAAAATTCTTATTGTATGAAACATATGTTTTGATTGTTTAATTTGAGCCTTATCATTGTATTAAATCCTTATCGTGAATTTCCAGATTTAAATGAAGTATGGAGTTAGATTTGTTTCACAATTATTCAATAAAAAAAAATCATGTCAAACAAAAAAAGTAGTATTCAATCAAAAATAAAATTCAAACAAAAAAAATCTTAAAAATATTTTAATCATAA